GTGAAGCTCAGTCACAGGGGCTTGCTCACAGGCTGCAAAAGGAGCTGCAATCAGAAAGTGATGCTTGGAGTAAAACAGTTGTTTCCTAGTAAATATTGACACAATACGTACATTTTCTCTAGGTCAGCGAGTCCTGCAAAAGCCCCTTTTGGAATKATTCTCATCTTGGTGAGGACAAATCTCCTGAAAATAGAGAAAACRGGATGATTAGTGACTATTCACAAACACAGGACTGTGCAGCAGCCTCTCCAGCAGAGGAGAGGCCTTTCTCACAGGCACAAGGGTGATTTCAAGGCTGAAGGCTTTGGCCTCTAAACACAGCWGAAACCTCCAAAATCACAGCRCAGCACCRGGAGACCACTGGGGCTGCTCAGGGRAAAAAGGATCCATTMGTAGTTTCCATTTCCTTGTTTGCTTCAGGAAGAAACCCAGACCTGCAGCTTCTCTGATTGCTGAGAGGGAACAGCACCTTTCCCATCTCAGCTGCTCTTCTGAGTGATGCTCAGGCACGGGATTACATTGCCCTGGGGAGTCAGACTGGGAGCAGCTGCTGCTCAAGTGGTTCCACCCACGCTCATGCAGGATAAGCTTTTATCTGCTGCACAGATAACTCAAGGGGTCAGCTACTGCACCCCATCACTGCAACTCCAATAACTTCATGGCTTCTCACAGTCTCTCTCCTAATTATTTGGGACTTYGGAATACACAACTCGATCACACGTGTGCCAGGACAACATTTTTATCACTTTTAAAGGTCACAGTAAATGTTTTATGAAGAAAACCCATTTGAAATACTATCTAAGCCTTTTTGCTAACCTGGAGYCATCTCCTTTAATCACAATAAACAAAGAGAACAAAAAAGCTTCTTATGGCACTTTGCAAATGACATGTAGGGCTCCCCCTACTCCTCAGAGAAATAAGGCATTAGCTGCATGATTGTTTCCTCTCAAATTTAATCATTGTTAGGAAGGGAGCACAAACAAGTGAATATATTAACATGGTTTGCTCATCATGACACATCAGATAATTTTGGTTGCATTGAGGGACATTTGTTAAAACATGTTTTTGTTCTTTCTTTAAAAAAAACACCACCCACCCATGTTACACACATGAACACGTCACACACATACATCACACCCTGTGATTCAGTTCCTTGGTCCGTTTTTCCATGGAAATGGAAATGAATTTTTCTGCATTACCATGGAAGCCTTTTTGGTGAACATATCTGCCACACCACCCTCATTTTTATTCATCTCAGAACTGGTTTTGCATGGCTGTTTGGGATCACCTTGCAGCTCACATGCTGTCTCATTGTAAGGCCTGCAGATGACAATGTGGGAACTCAGACCACTGTGCAGTCCTGCAAATTTTAACACAATGCCTCAAAACTAGACACTTACTTACCATTCACATAAACTATTCATGCAATTCCTCATCTATGTTTTATTTCAGATGATTAGCGGGGAATTTTCATAAGAGATTATCATGTTTTAATCAAAGTTTTGGGGRAAAAAAACCTATTATTCTGTCAGAGAACCAATATGACACATTCCCATTTTTTAATTGCAGGTCTTTAGTAGCATCTACCCCCTCATGAGTTAATATTTACATAATCAGGACAAAGCCAATGCCCTCCTCACCCAGTTCTAGAGATGTCACTGTGATTACACCAGGAATGAACTTGGTCTCATACTTTTTTAAACACTAAAATTTATGGTATTCTCGGTCCTGAAAGACGATGAAGTCAATCTGGTATTTCATTATTCTTGTGCTATCATTAATGTAAATCAGAAAGAGCTTCAACACACTGTCACACAAGAATTACAGTATTGAGATCATTATGCAAATGCTAGAAGGATGAAAGAGCTTCCAGAAAAGGCCTAACCTGGATTAGGCAATTTGTAAAACCCAGTGAAAACAGGGCTGGTGTAATGCATGCAAAGCTGTGTCTGTGCTYTCAGAGAGGATGGGTACAATGGATCCTTGCAGAACACCCAGCAGGCTTAGTGCTACAAAGCTGAACCATCAGCAAACCCTTTAACTTTGATCTGCTTTGAAATCTCTCTCAAACTCTGCTTTGTAGAAATGCACGCCTAATTCCTGAGCCCTAGAGAAAGGGCTTTGTCTGAAAAGCCACCAATCATTTCTTTGTGGCAATGTGYTAAAACGAACCCTCTCTCTGCAGGCACAGGTCATCAGGACATTTGCAATTTTTAATTAAACACTGGCCTATGCTGTGCTTCACCACAACAAGAAATTACAGTCTGATACAGAAACTAATGAAGAGAAGGAAAGTCATCCATAGATGAGGTAAGTGATATGAGAAAAGCCACATCTGCATAGAATTAAAAATCAGATCTTGAGTTTCTTTGTTGAGGATCCTGATACCCTGTTTTAATAAGGTTCCAGAATTCTGGATCTACATGTCTAATGCCCTGAGGCAGTTAAAAAAGAGTTGAACTTTAATAGCTGAAATCTCATATTCCACTTAAAAAAATAAAGGTTAATTGTTTTTAAACATCTCCGAGTAAGCTATATAAAGTCAGACTTAAAGGCATAACTAACAATGAAAATTAAAATTGGCTATTCATTGAATTATCAACTGTATAATGAAGAGGAGTCTATTATAACCAGCCAAACTCTCTATTGTCAATAAATCACACCAATTAGTCTCCAAGAATCCATCTTAATTTAACATGAGATATTGGCTATTCAGTACCAGTTCTTTCTGAGGTACATGGAGAAAATAAATGGAAACCATTTCCTTGGTTTTGTTTCAAGGCCCCCCTTTTTAGGGTCAGAGGAATGAATACAGCCAGCCTTTGCTCAAGCATGGTTCATGTCAAGACAGAAAACGAAATAAAAGCTTCCTTTAAAGAGCATGTACTTAAGAAAGAGATGAAATATTTGGTCCTAAAAATTTATGTTGGCACTTGGGCACCAGCAGGGAAAGCACATTCAATGAATGGCGTGGAATGGAAAACCCAGAGCCAGRTGCCCAACCTAAGGCATGAGAAAGCCCTGGAGAAGACTCCAGTGTTGGAGCCATCAAATGTTAACAAATGGTAGAGCAGGAAGCACGGGAAGAGGAAACAAACCCCAGATGGTCAGAGGGTTATTCTGAATTGTGTGAAGGCCACATGTATAGCTRTGAGTAGAAAAATGGCAATATTAACTACTGTTATTCACTGTGTAACAAGGGTAGATTTAAGCCYGGCCCATTGCTGCAATACATGCCCTGATACCCAGGAGAGTTTTCCAAATCCTGACTTAAATACATCTGTTGAAAATGATTCTTGACCAACTTGATCAACTTGATGTGTTGAAAATGATTCCTGAGGAGTTTTTTGGTAGGAACTGAAGCTGTCTGCTCCAGTTGTACAACCACACTCATACTTTCTATAATTCTCTGGACTGAGCATGCAAAATCTCTGCAGCTTTTTTTTTTTTTCATTTTTAGTTGTTTTATATGTCTCTTTAATATATAATTTTTGTTTGTCTCATGTGTGGGTGTGAGCAAACTCCTCCATTATGGGGTCACTAAAAATGTTGCTACTTAAACCCAGACCTGTCAGGACTAGGGCAGAACTCTCCCCTATAGATGATTTATTTTTACATCTAAACCTGGCYATTTAAGACTGGAGTCTCAGTTAATATGAGGTCACTGACACAGATGATTTTCAGTTTGTATCACTRTGAAAAACAAAAAATACAAATGCACCTTGTTTCTGTATGGCTATGTCCAGTGTAAGAGAAATATCACAGTGCCAAATTATSTCAAAGCCTGTAGAGGTCATGATGGAAAGAACAGAAATTAGCAAGTGCTGCTAAAATGTTCCTGAATAACCCTCTAACATTTACAGTTATGAAAAGATTTATTGATCTTTTCTTAAAATAGAGTCTTCTTCAGCTGAAGTAGCTCAGACAGGCAGAGCATAAGACATTAAGTGTAAAAAAAAAACCTCCAGAAAAATTAATGTTCCCTCATCCAGCCCTGMATGAATCCAGTGACAGAAAGGAGATCGACCTTATCAGGAAAGGAGGGAGGACTGGATGTCATTATTCAAAAATCTGATGCCCAAGGTATGGGTGATGATTAAAAAAAGTTGTTAAATGAGAAGATTTAAAAAGTGAACCTACACAGGTCATTTCTGCTGAATGCCTCTGAAAAAAAAAGCACAGGGGAAACCTGTGAAGTGTGGACACGAAGCCAAACAGTGTAACTGCAGTGTCTGTGGGGTCAGCCATTCATGTGCAGAATGCTGTATTTACATTTCCATCAAATGAATTCTCAGACCATGGTCCCACATGATTTTCCTAAACAATTATTGAGGTGCTCTTTGGCATAATTTTTCCACTAGAACTTGCTCCCACTCTGCTTTTGTGACCCTTCCTTTGGCAAAGGCCTCCCCCTGCCACTGGCAATAACCCTGCCCAACAAAGAACTGCAATGACTGTCAGAAATTARACTGGTTAAAGAAAATAAAATAATTTCTGCCTCATAAAGCCTGACTGAATTTAGGTCTTTCAAAACACTCTTTAAAACTCGTTTCTCAGATCTACTTAAGTCACACACAGTTAATCAGAACTGTGTGTGCATTGTGGAATTATCTTCCCTGCCTCATGTAAATTGCAAATTTTTGACGTTAAAATGAACTATACCRAGCAGATACTATAAACTTTATAACTTAAAGACCAAAGGAAAATAAAATAAAAAGCCAAAAAGATTCAGTGACCATAATGCTAAATCACCAACTTTGGTTCCAAAGAAATAACTGTGATAGGATTTTGAAGAACATTTTTACTTTAATCTCTGGGCTAATAGGCTGATGCTATCACCTTCTAATCCTCTGCAGCAATGTGCATTTTGTCAAACAAAGATTTACAGTGAAATTTAATTTACTCTCTGTAAATCTTTTTTGTTGCTCCTTTGTTGTTCCTTTGTTTTTTTCTTCTGGCTTTGGAGATGTGCTGGAGGTTCCAGTGCAAGCAACAGATGAATTTTTGCTTTACATCAGGGGAAGACAAAATGATTCTATGACCTATTTAATSTGCTCTTGATTAAATGCACAAATCAACAAGATCCTGCACCCTAGTGGCTTTTTTTCTCTGTTTTTGCTCGATTAGTCCAYGCAACAGTGAAGGACTGTTTTGCTTTTCATGCTGTAATAGGAGACAAATAG